CACACACACACACACACACACACACACCCCGCCACAGAATCTTCAAGGGGGGATAAGGGGCTCTGGGATTTCAATAAGCATCCCAGGTGACTCTGTAGTTGGTCCATGGCTGGCAGGGGAATCTGCTGCAACTGACACATGTGCTTTCCGTATCTAAACCTAGGATCCCACCAGTCTTGGGAAACATCTTGTCGGCTTAGCCTATCCTCAGCACGCATACACACTGTACTCATTCCTTACTCTTCCCTGGGGTGCCACGCCTCTCCAAGTTTCGGAGAGAATGGCCCATACAGTCCCCCACAGGCAGGACCTGTTACCTGCCCATCACCTCTCAATACTTCTTACCTTCTTCCTCCTCCCATCCAGGCTCCTCAGAGATGCTTTGTTCTGCCCGCTGCTTCAGGGCATCCCTCCGGGCCTGTTCCTAAATATGAGGGAGCAAATAGCCAGGAGCAGTCAGAGCACCCTCTTCCCAGACCCTGGTCCTGACCCCAGAACTCTTGGCACCCCTTCTTCCCTCAACAAAACCCAACCCACTTCCCCCATGGCTGAGTGGAGTACTCCCCCAGGCTAGGCCAGCATACCTGCTCTAGTTGATGAACTTTATAAAAATACCGATGCCAGAATTCTGAATGGGAAACAGCTGCTGGTACCTGGAGGGAGGGGACAGCAGGGATGAGACTTCTGGAGTGGTTGTGTGGGATCTGCATCCCCAGCCTTATCAGCCAGTTCTAACCACTCTGGATTTCAAACACAGTAAGAGGCTGAGCAGTGATCATCAGAGCACTTCCACCCCACATCCTACTCCTGCTACCTTCCTGGCCTAGCTTGGCCCAGGAGGGAGAAAAGAAATTCCACAAGGCTTTGCCAGCCCTTCCATTTCTCACCAAGATGGCCAGAAACCTGGCAAATCAATTTTCCCTGTGCAGGTTCTTGGCTCAGGAACTAGCTGGTTTGGCTCTACAGGGTCTCCCACTGCTCTCTAAGCCAGATGACTCTGAGATGATGCAGGACATGTCCCTCCCACCTCCCAACACCTTGAGCTGGGAGCTGGCCGAGGTCCTGCTGGCTGGGCCCTCACCATCTTGGTGTAGAGGGCCCGGATGGAGGGGCTGCCTACAAGGAGCTCGGAGATCTCCCCCTTCTTCTCCTCCAAGCAGAACTGGGAAAGCCAGGCATCAAATAATTCCGGAGGCCCTGTAGAGGAACAGACACTGATGGTCAGTTCCCTGGGTCTGGGGAAAAGAACACTGGGCCTACAGGAAACACACCTAAGACTGGACATGGACAATGAAGAAAGCATCAAGTTTTTTTCAAAGTCATTTGGCCCAAGGTGGGGGGTAAGGCAGGGTGAAGGGGTGGGTGAACCTCACTGATATCACGGTGCAGCACCTAAGTGACCTCCAGGAGGGGTTGCAGACTCCATTCCCTGCCATGCCTGCTCACTTTTTAGCCTGCTGCACTTGGGCACTGAATCTTCTCTCTGAAATAGCTATTCTCAGGTCACCAGGGACTCATGTGGCCAGGTTCAATGGCTACTTCTGTCCTCCCTCATGTGGCCAATCCAGTTTCTGACCCTGGGAGCACCTGCTCTCTTCTTGAAGCCCTCCAGATCCAGGAGTCCAAGTATCCCTTGGACACGTCCACTTGCACAGGTGCTGCAAACCCAGCTCATTTTCTTTCCTGCCCAACCTGACCCACCCAGTGATCCAATGGAGACCTGGGGACCCTCCTAGACATGCACACTTTCCTCTTCATTCCTCCTGCCACCTCCTAGGTTCTGGCCCTACCTGTAACGTGAGGAATGCTAATAAGCCTCCTAACTGGTCTTCCCATCTTCTGTCTCTCCCTCTATTTCATCCTTCACTACACTGCCCAGGGCCCTTTTATAAAATGTAAAATCTGACTACTTCAGGCCTCAAAACCCTTCAATAGGTCTCTACTGGAAGGCTTTTAAAGCTAGGGTCCAAAGATGGGCTTCAAAGGGTCAAAGAATTCCCATTTTGCATATTAAATCTTGTGGAGAGAGGGCTTGTCATTTTCAGCAGATTTTTAAAGACCTTTCTGACTTTAAAAAAAATGTTAAGAAGCACTACTCTGAGCATTTTAGGACAAAATTCAAACTGCTTAGTCTGACACCCAAAGCATTCCAATCTGGCTCCTACCGAAGCTCTCACTGCTTTCACTCCCTCACAGGCACCCTTTAACCCAGCCTTCCCAAATGCCTAGGTACGCCCTCTTCTTTCTGGACTTTCTGCTTAAACACCCACCCCCCCACTCTAAAGGTAAAATTAGTTTACTGCTAATTCATCCTTAAAACCTCAATTCAAGTGTCACATCCTCTGCTCCCAGGCTGTGTTGGGCACTATCCCCCTCTGGGTTCCCACTGCCACTGCCTCCATCCTTCTATAAAAGCAGTCACTCCAAATCTATTATCTTTGCTTTATTCACCATTTCCTGTTTCCCTCTAGCAGCCAGTTCCTGGAGGTCTGGACCAGGTTGAGGGTCTGACTCATTTCTGACCTCCAGTTCCCAGCCTGGGGCTTGCTGTACCACAGGGGGTTAGCAAACAGGAAGGGCAGCAAGGCTGGGAAGGAGCCAGAGCTGAGGATGAAGGAGAGGGAGAAGGAGAGGGTCAAGCCTTTGCAGACAGGGATGAAGACAGCCCAGGTTCAGGTAGGAAAAGGGACCATCAACCCATGCCACCAAATCTAAGGTACACACTAGCCCCACTCTGGTCCCTCTATACAGGGGGTGCTTGGCGACTGCTACCAGAGACAAACAGGGAACACAACCCAGATGCCCTTGGTCTCCCTGCCCTGCAAACCCGCCCCTCACAGCTACTCCCTCACCATCTGGTTCATTGCAGTAGGTTGCCGGATCTGACTGCAGGCTATAGAGACGAGCCTATAAGAAACAGAAAAGACTTTTCAATGAGATGACTTTTCTCAGAGATGCAGATCTCTGTGAAGACTCTGACTGGCAAGACTATCACCCTCGAGACTAAACCCAGTGATACCACTGAGAACGTCAAAGCTAAAATCCAAGACGAGGAGGGCATCCCACATGAACAACAGTGTCTGATTTTTTTGGGCAAACTTCTGGAGGATGGCTGCACTCTCTCAGACTACAACATTCAGAAAGAGTCCACCCTGCACTTGGTACTTCATCTGCAGGGTGGCATCATTCAGCCCTCCCTCCGCCAGCTCTCCCAGAAGTACAACTGCGACAAGATGATCTGTCACAAGTGTTATACCCACCTACACCCCCACACTGTCAACTGCCACAAGAAGTGCGCCCACAACCTGCACCCCAAGAAGAAAGTTAAATAAGGCCCCTACACCACCTCCTCGAGCCCACAGGGCTGCCTTCTGCCTGAACCCCATGGTCCTGAGGCCTCAATAAAATTTCCCTTTTGTTGACTGGAACAGTAAAAAAGCCCACAAAAAACAGAAAAGAGCCCTAGCAGGTTTTGCTCAGTGGTTAGAGCATCAACCCATGGACTGTAGAGTCCCGAGTTTGATTCTGGCCAAGGGGACATACCTCGGTTGCAGGCTCAATCTCTAGCCCTGGTTGGGGCACGTGTGGGAGGCAAACAATCAATGTGTCTCTCTCATATCAATGTTTCTCTCTCTCTCTCCCCCTTCCCTCCCTCCCTCCTTCCCTTCCACTCTCTCTGAAAAGCAATGGAAAAAATATCCTTGGGTGAAGATTAAAAAAAAAAAACCCACATAGAAAAGAGAACATAAATTCTGGGATGCTGGCAAAGAAAGCACCCCCTCTCTGCCAGAGTACCCATTCAACCACAGCCCAGCTTCTTCTCTGTTGGATACCATACCCACAGGGCACCTGTCAATTAATACTAAGGCTAGGGAATGGAGTGCTGAGACAGGAGTCCAAAACTGGGGCTCTGAGAAAATGATCTTTTACCCAGTATTCCACCCCCAGGAACTAAGAAAATACAGTGTAAACAGGCTAGAAAATTATATGTATAAAATCCTTTTGAATTATGTGAAATTTGAAAAATGCTAATGCAAAAATATTAATAAAGTCCAAATTTATGGGTAGGTTTTGAAATAATATAACTTCCCTAAATTAAAACCATTCATCAAGAATCTCTTAATTTCACAGCCGTCTGCCAAGTGAACTGTAAGCTGTGCTCCAATTAGGGACACAGAGGTGGCAAACTTTAGCTAGTTAACAGAAAGCCCCACCTTCCTTCCTCAGCACTACGTGAAGCATAGGCTACCTGGCTGTATCAGAATTTCAGCAAGTGGTTTCGGTAATTCACTGCTATAATTTAAAATCCAGTAATTTAAAATTTTTCACAATTCCACTTAAATTCCACTAAGTGGTGGTGCGAATTCTAGTGTTAAAAACACGCTTGAAAAATCAGTATGTTTGGAATGGAAATTCAGTGTGGTAAAATGCTACAAAGGAGGCCAAACTGCTATGACACCACGTGAATTTAGGAGAAAATACTCCATGAAATCCAAGAAGTAATGATGAGAAAATAAAATGCAGCAGAAACATAGACATCCTCCTCCCGTATATGTATTCCTGTTGGAAATTAGTCTTAAATAACCCCAAATGGAGATCATGCCTGTAAAGGTGCTCCCTACAGCATTCCTTATTATGGTTGAAAGCTGAAAGGAGTCCAAATGTGCAACACAGGGAAATGACTAAATAAATCATGCTATATTCACTTGCAAGAATTTAAAGACATTAAAAATGATGGTGATGCGCAGCCGGGCGTGGCTCAGCGGTTGAGCACTGACCTAGGATTCAGGCGATCGGGGTTCGATTCCCTGTCAGGGCACATGCCCGGGTTGCCGGCTCGATTCCCAGTCGGGGGCATGCAGGAGGCAGCTGATCAATGACTCTCTCATCACTGATGTTTCTATCTCTCTCCCTCTCCTGATTAGGAAAGGTGCTAAGTTTACTGTAAATTTTTCAAAAGCAGGTAACAAAATTGCACGTATAAAGTGCCTTTTTTGTTAAAAAGAAAAACCCTTGAACTATCTTTACCCATGTTTGTAAACAACAAGAAACTGGCAGGGTTGCTCAGTTGGTTAGGGCATTGTCCTGGTATACCAAAGTTGTGGGTCCTATCCCTGGTGAGGCACACACAAGAATCAATCAATGAATACATAAATAAGCTGAACAAACCAATGCATCTGTCTTTCTCTCTCTCTCAAATCAATTAAAAAAACAACAACAAATAGGTTGGAAGGGACCCCTCTGCACTCTCTTTGTAGCTCTCTCTTCTTTAAAAAACAAAAACCAAAAGAAAGAAATGGCAGGCTATACACTGACCATAAATCAGGGGTTCTTTTTTGAGTGATGGGATTGTGGGTTTAGAAATAATGATCTTCTTGCTTATCAGTATTTTCCAATTTAGTTATATACGTATGTTTATTTTTTAGCCTGAACACGTATTGCTTCTATGAGTCCATATGGGAAGTAGAGCCCAGTGCTGTTAGGCAACTACAGAGGAAGCCACTAGTGAGTACCTTGGTGCCATCATAGGGCTCAGCTGTGCCAGAGGGCGTGCCCATCAGGGTGATGACATCACAGTCGATGGTTTTGTCTGGTGAGGGAGCAAAGGTGTCGGAGATCACCCCAAGGAAGTCAGACAAACCCTTCTTCATTTTCTCCGTTGCCCCTGAGGAGCCTTCAGTCTGGAAAGAAAAGCCAGCAGAGGAAGCAAGTGGCCCAGGAGCAGGCTAAAACTGGGGTATGGGGTATGGGGTATGGAGGGGTGAAGTACCAGGGGCAAAGGTGTACTGTGTATGTGGGGATCAGGGAAGTGCTCATGACCTCTCATCCCATCTCTGGGGCTGGAGGAGAGACAGGAAGCCAGGGTTCCCGCCCCCCAGATAGGGGTGCAGAATAGGGTTGCAGTAGGCCTCTGTTGAGCTCCCTGATTGGCTGTTTCATCAAAATTTCAAGGCCAGCCAGACTGAGTAAAAATTGACAGGAGAGGAGCCATGCCATAGACATTCAGTGGGGAAGACATATGTGATAAGAAAGGTACTAGCTGTGGAGCCAAACTTGAATTTGAATCCCAGCTCTACTACTTGTTGATTATGAAACCTAAACTCTCCTTGAGTCTCTGTTTCCTTATCTGTAAAATGCAGATAAATATATTTCCTTCAGAGGACTTCTGTGAAATTAAAAGATAAGACATACAAGTTTCGGCACCAAAAAAAAAAAAAAGATAGAGAGAAGGCATGTACAATGCCTGGCACATTGCAAACATTTCATAAATAGCAATATTGTAATATCAAAATTTCATCATCATGATTGCTCAGGAAATAGAATATTTTCTATGAAGGCTGAGGAAATATGGGCCAGATTAGAACAGAATGTCTTGCGTCGAGGCAAGCCTAGGACGACCTGACGGCCAATGTATGGGCTTCACAGAAAGGACAAGTGGGACACCAAACTTGAGCCACACTGGTCAGAAAGTCCAAGCAAGCAGGCTCTAAAGATCTCATGGAAAACTATAATATTTATTCCTAACTAGGCTGCCCAGGCATTTTAAACCTAGAACTTATCACAGTGCCTGGTACATGTTAGCACAGGTATGCAATCATATTTGTTGAATGAAAAAAGGAATAAACAAATGGAAGAAACGAGTGCTCTCCCTGACACTGGCTGGACTTATCACAGTTCAGCAGGATTACCACTTGTCTTTCATGCTCATCAGTAGCTGTGGTTGGCAGGCAGACAGTATTTTACAACATTCAACAAAACAAGCTTGGCTAAAAAACTCCAAAACATGTTTTTCATAACATGGCCTCTAGTCACGAGGTGATTGATTCAGCTGGTGATCAAATGAAGAAACTGCAATCTGTCCCAACACTAAAGGAAAAATTGTAATATAAAACCAGTATACTGTACTTCATCAGAAACTTGAGACTTGCAGGGATATCTCTGACTATACACAATTTTCACTTACACAATGACTTCAGAACCAAACTCTTTTCTCACAAGAGGGTTCCATTACACATCTCTGATTAATAAAAACAGGGACAGTAAAAATATAAGTTGACACACCTTTCTAGAGGGTAGTTTTGCGATATTAAAAGGACTTTCTTTTTCACTTATCTGTATTTTCTAAATTATCTACAATGAATGACTTTGATAATAGGAAAACATCTGCTAAAATAATATAGAAGTGGAAAAGCTTATTAATACTTAATACATATATGTAGCTTGTTTGCTTGACAGACACAATTCTTTCAAAATGGGGGCTTATGGGGAAAAACAATCACATAAAAGAAAAATGGGAGAAAGGTTGGGAGCCCCCACCATGGTCCCAGAGCAGGTCAGGCTGTGAGGGACAGTCACTTGGAGGATATAGGTTGTACTCACAGACAGCTTCTCCTTGACCACGCTGGCCGTGGCTGCAATAGTGCAGGCTGTGTCATGCTGCACCACCTGGGTGAATTCTGTTAGGTCCCGCTTCATGAACTCCAAGGCTTCGGAGGACTATGGGAAAACAGAGAGGGATGATAGAGCCAGCTGGCTTCACCACCCTTTGTTGTTCCTGTTCCCTATGCTTCTTGGGTACCAGACAGACACATGGAAAACTCAAGTGACCCGGGAAACCTAGGCTCAGAAACAATGCTCACTTGTCCCAATTCCACGACTTGGTATTTGACAACAGAGAGCAAAGAACTTCCTGCTGCTCTGAAAACAGGAACTGAGTGTCAGCCCAGACACTTACAAGCTATGTAGTCAGAGTAACTCTCATCTAGTCTCAGTTGTCTCCTATGAAATGAAGGAGACAGATGAGATCAGTGGTTCTCAAGAGCAGACTGTGGAAGGGGACACATATAGCTAAAAACAAAACAGACTTTGTTGCATTGCTTTGACATGCTTTAAGACATGACATTTGTTTCAAATAACATGAAGAAAAGGTATGTGATTTTTTTTATCAAAGGAAAGTGTTTCTATTTTTACTTTTTTTTTTTATAGGGAAATTCAGTTGAAATGAGGCAGCATGTGAAATTATCTGTCTGAAAGGTTTAATAAACATGTTGCATTAATAACAATAATAGTTTAGAAAGCTTTTATGAGTAATTCTTGACACTTTAATACCAGTAAAAGGTGTGTGATTTTTACATTCAACAAAGGGGGTGTTAACAGAAATACTTGACTGGTTTCTCTTTGAGGTTTTCTTGGCCCCAAACATTCGTTAATAGAGCTCCTTTGGGCAGAATTGATATTTGCTTCTGTTAGACCGATCTGCTTTCCTACCTTGCACCCAGAACCAGCTCGAGACAGCAGGCTCTCAACTTTTTTTTTTTTTTTAATATATCTTTATTGATTTCAGAGAGAAGGGAGAGGGAAAGAGAGAGAGATAGAAACGTCAATGATGAGATAGTCATTGGTCGGCTGCCTCCTGCATGCCCCCAACTGGCCAGGCATCAACTCTTAAGTCTTGCCTTGTCTTGCTTCACCCTCCTCCACTCAAGGATGCCTTCCTGGGCTACCTCTGTACTTGTTTGCAAGCTCTCTGATTTTACACGAGGATAGCCACCTGCAATATTTTGGCATGTTTTTGAGTATTCTGGTAGTGTTTTCTTTGGGGAAGGGCCTGCTTAGTTTTCATCAGCCTAGGAAGTCTTTAAGTGGGACAGTGTAATCTATCAGCCAGGGGCTTCTCTGGGGGTGGGCATTATGCCTCCATATCAGACTCAGGACTATTTAATTGGAGTTATTTATTAACTCTCTCCATCCACACTGCCACCACCTAAGACCAGGCCAATCCGGACTCCTCCCAGGTTGCATCAGATACTTTTATTATATTCTCTTCCTGACACCAGTGGGAGCTTTGTAAGTCAGAGCAGACCATGTACATTCTTTGATGGTTACACAGTATCCTATGAGAAAGTATAAAATCTTTACCCTCACTTGCAAGGCCCTATAATCTTGCCTCTGGCAGATTCTTCCCCTTCTGCCGTGCCCCTCAATGAGCTCCAGCTGGCCTTCCTCAATGTTCTCAAATCCTCTAGCACCTTCCCTACCTCAGGGTGTCTGAGCACATTATTCCTCTTCTTGACACATAGTTCTAACTCTTCAAAGCAAAGAGAGCACACACAATGAGTGAGCCCTCTCACCTGGCCAACTCCTATTCCTCCTTCAGATCTATGCTTAAACGTCACTTCCTTAGAGAAGCTTCCCTGATGCCACCTCAGACTAGTTTGGCTCCCCTGCTTTGTGTTCTAAGGGAACTGCACATTAACATTCTCATACTTTATGATTACCCATTCAATATCCATCTTCCTGCATAAACTATGATTTCCATGTACACAGAGCCCATGTTTTTTGCTCACTGATGCTTCCCCAGTGTGGAGTAGGTACTCTAAATATGTTTGTTTGTTAAATTTACATGTACCGGGGCAGTTTTCATTATATAATCATCTGTATGATTATTTGATGACTGGTTGTCTCCCTCACTAAACTGTGGGCTCTGAGGGGACAAATATGAATAAACATGGTGCTTGCCCTTAAGAAAGTCACAGCCTACTGGGGAAAATGATCACATAACAGTGCTGATAAGCAAGGAAAGACCAGTGACCAGTGTATTATGGGAAGCTTGGAAAGACCTGGTGAAGGGCAGCATCTACTGCACCCTAAAGAATGAGCAGGAGTCCGCTAAGGAGGCCTGGGCATGGTGGAACATGGGGTTTACTGAGGCCTACAAGCATTTTAGTCCTAATGAACATAAAAGGTAAAGCAGAAGTGGTGAGAGATAAAGCTGGAGAGGTTGAGAAGGGCAACCATGGAGCGCCTGGTCAGCCTTGTGGGTGACAGAGAGCCACCAGAGATTTGAAAGAAGTGGGACATGATGAAATATGCATTTTTAATAGGTCATTTCAGGAGCTGATAAGTCCAAGGATGATGAGATTAGAATAGGGAAGACGACCAGTCAGGAGGATGTTGCAACAGTCTAGGAAACAAAATAGAAAAATAGGAGCCCGACTAGGTGTGGCTCAGTGGTTGAGCATCACCTAGGATCCAGGAGATCACGGTTTGATTCCTGGTCAGGGCACATGCCCCCGCTGTGGACTTGATCCCCACTCAGGGGTGTGCACANCGCTGCGGACTTGATCCCCACTCAGGGGTGTGCACAAGGCAGCCGATCAATGACGACTCCCTCATCATTGATGTTTCTCTCTCTCTCTCCTTCTCCCTTCCTCTTTCTGAAATCAATAAAGACATATTTAAAAAAAAAAAGAATATAAATAAGGACAGTGCTGGTAAGGATGGAGAGGATGGGAGTGGTTCAAGAATTATCAGGCAGCCCTGGCCAGTGTGGCTCACTTGGTTGAGCAGCATCGCATGCACCAAGAGGTCACCAGTTCCACTCCCAGTCAGGGCACATGCCCAGGTTGCAGGCTCGACCCCCAGTAGGGGGCATGCAGGAGACAGCCTGTTGATGTTTCTCTCTCTCTCCCTTTCCCTTCCTTTCTCTCTAAAATCAGTAAAAACATATTTTAAAAAAAGAAATGTCATGCCCAGCCGGGCGTGGCTCAGCGGTTGAGCGTCGACCTAGGATCCTGGCGATTGGGGTTCGATTCCTGGTCAGGCACATGCCTGATTGCAGGCTTGACCAATGAATGACTCTCTCATCACTGATGTTTCTATCTCTCTCTCCCTCTCCTTTCCTCTCTCTGAAATCAATATATATTTAAAAAAAGGAAAGAAAAAAAAAAAGTCAGGCAAAAAGGGTGGATTTGGTGATTAAATAGATGCATTGACTGAGAACAAGATAGAATCAAGAAGAGCCACTGGCTGCTAAACTAGGTGACTAGGTTAGATGCAGTGCTGCCAACAAAGAGGAAAATGCTGAAGGGGGGCAGGTTTATAGAGAGGATGATGACAATGACTCTGGTCATGTAGAATCAGCAGTGACTGTGGAACACCTGGAATAGTTGTCCAGAAGGAGCTATTCTCAAACACTAAGACTCAGAGCAAAAGACTGAGTCACCCTAACATGGAGTTGACCCAGGAAGAGTTTATAAACAAAGTAGTGAGCTGAGGACAAGGCCCCTCAAACACCACACCTTTAAGAGGCAAGTAGGGGAAGAGGAACTCCTGAAAACAGTCAGGAAAGGAAAGATGGGGAAACATGTGGAGAACGGAGAGAGAATCATGTCACAAAAGCCAAGGGAGTAGAGTTTCAAGAAAAAGGGAGTGATCACTAGTGTCAAATGCAGCAGAAAGGTGCAGGAAGATAAGGGCTGAAAACACCTACTGGATTTGGCAAGTGGTAAGTAAAGCTGAGTGTGTGTATAGATAAGTTTATATGTGGTGGCTTTAGGGGTGTAGAGGGAGTTAGAGAGGTCATGCTGTTGACCTCAAATTTTAAAAAGCAGGAGCTAAGGTTGTCTCCTTGAAGTAAAAGAGGAAGCGGTTGAACAGGGAACTTGAGGGAAGTTAGGTTAGGGGAAAGTTTCTGCAGACAAGGGGAGAAGCAAATTAGAGACTGAAATAGCTTGCTGGGGGGTGCTTAGGCCCAGATGAGGCTGGGGAATCTGTGGTAGGGCCAAAGCGCAATGTGATTTTCTCTACCAGTGTCTTGTGGGCAAGCTCGCTCTCTCTCTCTCTCTCTCTCCCTCACACACACACACACACACACACACACACTATAGAAAGAAGTAAGAAGCAGAGGAAGGCAGGTTATAGCATTATCTCAGAGCTCTAGTTGTTGGGGCAATGTGTGCTATGGGGTACAAGAGAATTGAAGGTGCTGGAAACTGAGTGGTCCAACTAGAGACAGGATAGAAAAGAAGGAAGGCCAGGAAAGCACTGAACGACCAAGGAAAAAATGGAAGGAAAAATGGACTGGTGGTATTTAAGAGGCTTCCCCATCACTCTCAGCACTTAATAAAAACAGCCAACACTTATTTCATACTCACTGTGTGCTAAGTATTATTCTTAGTCCTTTATATATCATGTAATCCTGACAAGAATCCTATCAGGTAAGTATTAGTATTCCTATTTTAAAGATGAGGAGCTGTTGCCCGGCCAGGTGTGGCTCAGCGGTTGAGCGTCGACCTAGGATCCAGGTGATCAGGGTTCGATTCCCGGTCAGGGCGCATTCCCGGATAGCGGGCTCGATCCCCAGTCGAGGGTGTGCAGGAGGCAGCTGATCAATGACTCTCTCATCATTGATGTTTCTATCTCTCCCTCTCCTTTCCTCTCTCTGAAATCAATAAAGATATATTTTTTAAAAATTAAAAAAAGATGAGGAGCTGAGGCCTAGACAGGTTAAATAACTTGCCCAGGTTTATATGAGTAAGTAGCTAAGAGAGGGAAATTAAGTCTTCTCTTTAGGAATGGGGAATTGTAAAGACAGAAAACTACACTCTCCACTACCCCACTTTCAAATGAGAGTTCTCTAAGAACAAAGATGGAAAGCTAATCAACTACCTGTTTTTCATGAGTTATGGCATACCGACCTTGAGGGAAACACACAGAAGGCCCTCAAACACATTTGCTAAACTAATGTCAGATCTCAGTAGATTGAACCAAGTTACTTGGAGGTCTCTTCTACTAAACCTCAGTGTGAAATTCTTTCTTGGTCCTCACCAAAACACAAACAGCTCAGGGCATCCTCAGATTTGCTGGACTGGAGCTGAGAGGAGTATACAGGCTAGGGGAGGAAAAAAATGCCCCTAGAGGACTGATTTAACTGAGGCCAGAAGCCTCCTGGAGTTCTGCTCTGAAGCAGGACTCATCCCAATTGCTTGAGATAAATAGTGGTTAGCTTTTTCCAGAATTAATTTACGTTGGTTTTGACAGACCAGCATGGAATGAAACAGACACACAATGGCATTTTTTGCTGGCAGAGCCAAGTCTCAGGCTCACTCATTGCACAGGGACTGCCGTTTCCCCACTAGAGCGTGAGCTTTGTGGGGCCCAGGACTGCATCTGTTTGGCTAACATGGGTATCCTCAGGACCTGGCCCTGCCGTATTGGCTGTGGCATAGATGCTAACATTTAAATGACTACAGGATTAAGTTTCTATTGCTAGAATCCTTATCTTCAAGACCTACGTTAAATGTTCTCTCTTCTACGAAGCTGTGAATTTCCAGAGCTGGAATAAATTGCTCCTTCCTATGGATTCCTACGAAAGGATCGCTCCAGCCTTTAAAACAGTCTTTATTTCACTATGACTAGTGTCACACTGGTCTGAGTCGAGGTCTGTCCTTACGTAGATCGAAAGGAGCTAAAAGTAGGGACACAGTCGTTCTCATCCCCGAGGCCTGGCACCCACAAAAGTCGGGTGGGGCCGCTCGGACCAAGTTGCAATGAGGCGGCGCGGGGCCCTGGGGGAGGAAGAGCCCCGGGCCGGCTTACCTTTTCCTTGACTGCCTGGTAGCTCTGCTGCAGCCAGCTCCTCCACCATCCCACGTCCTCCCTGTGGAATACAGACACATCTGGCAGCCCCTCAGTGCGACTCTTGCCCGCTCAACGATCGGGTCTCAGTTTCCCCTCAGACGTGGCCCCGCGGGCTGAGGCTACGCAGGCCGCTTCCCCACCCCCTCACATTGCGACTCCACCCCGCCTTCTCAGCTGCGTCCACCACCGCGCTGGCCTGCTGTTTCCCCAGAGACCCTGGCCCAGCACCCCAACCCTGGAAGAATTCAGGGCCCAACTCCCGAGAGCTGGATGACGGGCTCACCCTTCCGCCATCTTGCCAGCATGACATCACCACTATTTACTGACCTTTGACTTCCGACACGACACCGCCCCCCTTAAGCACCGCCCCGGAGCACTCGGCCCAATCCTCGAGCGGACACCTCCCTCAGCCCAATCTCCGCCCCGCTTTATAATTAGGCTCCGCCTCCTTGAGCTCGGCCCATTCTCTGTCCAGAGTTCTCCCTTAAACTCCGCCCCTGAGTGCTTGGTCCAATCCTCAGTTTTGTCTTAAGGCCCACCCCAAGCGTTAGCCCCTCCCCCACCAACCTTGAATCTTCGTGGGTATCGGCCATCGTCCCCTACGGTGGCCGCACGGGCGTTGGCCGGCCTGTGGGTGGGAGGTGGAGGGGAGGGAGAGCGGGATCTCCGCGGGAGCGAGCGGGGCCTGAGCTCGAACCTAGGATCCTGGGGCGCGGGACTAGGACCGCCCCCCTTTATGAAACCAGCCGCGTAGTAGCTGTTAGGGGTCTCTTCGGACTAATTCAGCAAACGCAGACTGCGGGGCTCTGGGCCAGGGTTTGGAAGTGTGTGGAGAAAAGTTCCGAGGTGACTGAAATCCAGCCCCTAAAGGGGCTCTAAAGATACCGGAAGACACATTCAGTTACCTCAACTCTTGGCGGCCCAACTCTAAACAACTCGACGTGGTTAGGAAAACGCAGAGACTGCCGGGAGAAAGGAGATTGAATGTG